ATCTCTGTGTGTTGGGGCACTAGGGAGTGGGGGTTCTGTGGGGGGTGCTGGGCAGTTGTGGGGGGGCTGTGGGCAGGGGTTGTGTTGTGCAAGGCACTGTGCATTTGTGGGTGGGTCGGGGGGGGGCGGCGCTGGGCATAGTGGGTCCGGGGGCATCTTTGGGCATAGGGAGTCAGGGGGCATTGGGTGGGGTGTGGCTGTGTGGTGTGGCATGGGACTGCCCTCGAGGGGAAGGGGCACGCTGGTAGCACAGGGCCAGGCAGGCCACTGTGTGTCTGGCAACTACTGGTTTGTAAATAGTGTCCTCGCATTGGGCGGAGCAGGGCTGCCCCTGGCATGCCCCATTCCCTCTGGCTGGCCCCTCACTCCGGGGACCGACCCCCTCACGCCATGCTCCATTGCCTCCATGGGGGCCCACAAAAGGTTAATCCGGCCCCACTTGCCGCCCTTCTGGTTAGGGAAGAGACATTGCTATCGACCAGCCAGGAGAAAACAAGACAGGAGAGCTGGAATCAGTCATCAGCTGTCCGGAAGCAGGGCTGTAATAAGTAAATAGCTTCCCTCTCTAGGGAGCGGGGTCTGATCTCCAGTCTCCACCTTGCTGGCAATGCTAGAGCTCAGAGCACTGCCACCCCTCGGCCCAGAGCAGTCTGTAAGCGACACCCATCTAATTAATTAATGACTCCCCAAGGCTGGCACCGCGACTGCTGGACTGGAAAGCAAGGCTGCAAGGAGTGGAAAGGACTGTTCGGGGTAGCTTCTGGCAGATGCCGAGAGTGCTGCTGGAAGCTAGCTGGCTATCAATCACCCTCCCTGCTTGGGCTCCAGTACAGAGAGCAAGCAAGAGAGAGACACAGAGGAAATAAGATGGCGTGGGATCAGCATCCTCTCTGCTGGCGAAGGTGCTCTGCCCTCCTGTTGTCTTACTCCAGAGCGGCCATGAGCCAGTTAATAGAGGTAAGAGACTTCCCCCACTTGGACTGGGAGAAGGGGGGCTATGGGTGGTGCAGAAAGCAGGTTGCATGTAGCTTGTTTTCTTTGCATGTTACCCAGGGAGGACCAATGTGGAGAGTGGTGAATTTAAGGTAGTTCTGAGGAGTTAGAGGTTTGCTTAGTTGAAGCTTGTTGCTTCCCCAGGCCTGTGCTCAAGGGATGCACCTGGATACTACTGTACGTTTAAGGTGGTCAACAGTCAAGCAAAGGCAGCCAATAGTTAGGAGCCATTTTACAGTGGCTAATGGCTATGACAAACTGTACCTCCGACTTCCCTTATTCCCTCATGCATCCAAAGTGATGCTTCCAAGAGCATCTTTCCACACCCCTCCTTCTCACTCCCTCCACCGGCTTCCTCTCCTTCTGCATCACACGCTAGCTCCTTCTCCTTTCCTTCAGTACCCCGCGCAATTTCACCCTGCCTGCATCTCATCCCACTAGTCCCAGCCAAGCCACCCTCTAACCCGTCTCCTTTGTGCCATTCGTTCTCCTCTGAGGCCATTCCTTCACCTTCCTCCACGTGGCCCTCTTCTCTGAGCCCTTCACAATTCACCCGGCCAGCTCATTCGCCTCTCCACACGCAGGGGGCTAGTCCCCCACCCCAAAACCTTCCAAGCGCTGCCAGCAGCCCTGCGTTGGGCCCTATGGCTCCCTGATAGGCCTCCCCTCTGCATTCAGCGCTCAGGCTGTTCACAGCACCTCCCACTGGGCAGGTATTCACCTGGGCAAACAACCCTCTGAGCTCCCTGTGGAAAATGCCTTGTCCTCTAGGTCACCCTCAACCCAGCTGGAGGGGGGAGGAAAACACATTGAAGAAACTTCATGGCTCATTACTACAAACTGGCAGGCAGTGGCTATAATTTATTAGTTCAGAACAGAGTCCTGCACTAAAGCACAAGCCAAAAAAAAAAAAAACAACTACTGTCATAATAACTGTATCTAGCCCAGCAGTTCCCAGTCACCTCTGGCCAGACTAAGATCTGGGAGGGATCAGTCTATGCCTACTGCCTCCCATTCTCAAGGGATGCCGGCATGCAGAGCAAGCCAGTTTCCCCAGTGGGTCAGGGGATACGCTACCACCTCCACAGTGACTAACACACCAGGAACCTCTAAAGCTATAAGGCTTGAGCTACAAGACCCATGCTGGAGGGCTGTAACACTCACCTCTGTGGGGCGGTTACAGTAGGACACATTGACCAGCGGGGGATACCTCACTGAGTGGGAGATTAGCAAAACCAGCACAGCAGAGGGAAGAGAAACCCAAGGGCTGTATCAGCATGACATGGGAGCCAGTGATTAGCCAGTGTGTTTCTATCCTCCATGTCACCTTGGCTGGGAACGTCACAGCCTGTGGGCTGCAGGTTAAGAACATAAGAACGGCCACACTGTCAGACCAAGGTCCATCTAGCTCAGTATCCTGTCTACCGACAGTGGCCAATGCCAGGTGCCCCAGAGGGAGTGAACCTAACAGGTAATGATCAGTGATCTCTCTCCTGCCATCCATCTCCACCCTCTGACAAACAGAGGCTGGGGACACCATTCCTTACCCATCCTGGATAATAGCCATTAACCGACTTAACTTCCATGAATTTATCCAGTTATCTTTCAAACGCTGTTATAGTCCTAGCCTTCACAACCTCCTCAGGCAAGGAGTTCCACAAGTTTTAGTAGTTAGCCACTAGGTGACAGCTAGCTTGACCTTTAGGTCACAATAGGGACTCCCAGGCTGTGACCTGAGATTTGCCACTGACTCACTATGTGTCCTTGGTCAAGTCACTTAGACCAGTGTATTCAAATGGGTCCACTAACTTCACATGTCAAGCTGGACATGCCTAGGGCTACTGCACCTGCAGCCTCCATTGAAGCCAATGGGAACAACAGCCCCATCTGAACACCAGGCCACAAGGGTCAGACTCTCCAGAGTGCTCCACACTCAAAGCTGACATGTTTCACAGAGATGCATCAATTTCCAAGGGAAAGTTTTAATGCTTCCAGTTCACTTCCCCCAGACAGACACCCCAACTGAAAGCCAGACATCTCCATTCCAAAAACCAGCCATTTCGGGCCAGGCCGATTTCTAAAGGTTTTGTCTTCGTGTCAGTGTGGAGCAAAGACACATTTTGAAACCTTGAAATTTGCCCCAAGACTGAACTGTCAGCCTCCAGCCAGCTCTTCACATGGCAACACGTATGGCTGGATGTTCAGAGGCCTCAGCAAGCAACAGGCCGAGCCCTCTGGAAGATCTGGCCCCATATGGTGCCTCGAGAAGAGCAGAAGTCTTTCGAAAGTGTGACCTCCGTTGTGGGTGCTGGGTTCTTAAAACTCTGGTACTGTCCCCCCAAGTCGGGCACCCAGAAGGCAAAGCACCCAAGCTCAGTGAGCACATTTCAGCTATCGGCCTTAGCATGAGCGGGTGGAGCCCCCCTTTGGGGAGGCTAGCCCCCAGCTCTTTCCCTTCCCCATGGCCGGAGCCCCAAGAACCCCCCGCCCCCCAGCCGGAGAAGCCCTGAGCACCACCCTCCCCCTCCAATGGCCAGACAGGTGTCGAGCTTTCCCTCCCCTCCTCGGACCCAACCCACCCAGGGTAAAGCGTCTATTAGAAGACGTTTTTGATATGTCTCATGCAGGTTCCAGGGCAGCTGAGGAGGTGATATATGCCTCAGCCGCCCCGGAACCTTCATGGGGCCTAATAAAGCAAAATCTTTGCTGCCAAACTCTGCAACTGGGGGTCCCGTGGCCACGGCAGAGCCTCCCCTGGCCTATTATACCCACCGCCCATGGGCCTTAGCCTCAGTCTCCATTTGTAAAGGCTGCGTAATTACAGGCTGTTCTAAACCACTGCAACAGCTAAGTGCTGTTACCTCAAATGACTCACTGGGCCTGAACAGTGCGATCGAGAGATGGAAAAATGAGAGACCCGGCACCTTTAATTCCTGCTAAGCCAAGCGGTTCAAATGAACACTGCAAGGATGAGAAGCATTAAGCAGCAAAACATTTCACTGAGCTCACGAGAGCCCCTTATGCAGGGGCGGCAAGTTGTATGGGCCCAGGTAACACCAAAAGACCCTGGGACCTCTGGAGCTCAGTGCATGAGCCTCTACCGCATGAGCGAAAAGCCAACTGGCTGTTAGCGAAGGCTGTAGAGCAAACTCATTTTTTAATCTCTCGCTCTCTCAAGTGGTCTTGGTGCCACTAGACGGGACAGAGCACCACACTCAGGAGGTGTGTGGGCAGAGGTGAAAGTAAGCTGGTGTGGTCCGGTACGGCCTACCGGCAAGAGCCAGTATGCAGGCAGGATTAAACCTGGGGCCTCTAGAGCTTAACGCAGGGGTCGGCAACCTTTCAGAAGTGGTGTGCTGAGTCTTCGTTTATTCACTCTAATTTAAGGTTTCGCATGCCAGTCATACACGTTAAAATGCTCTCATGCACCACCCCGGTTCCCCCCTTGCCTAGGGTTACCATATTTCAACAATCAAAAGAGAGGACGG